ATGGTGAGCTAGCTGCTGCTAGCGTTATCGGAACACAAACAACCTTGCAACACGCTAAGCTTAATGGATCTAGCTGAACTGGAACCCAGCCAATATGGCAGTTCAATACAGGGATGGTGAACTTTTCGCTACTTAACACGATCGCGTGATAGACCCGAAACAGCAGATCTGTCTGCTGCTTTACTACAAACATTCATACGACCTTTATCGTTACCACTACTGTTTTCACAATCTAATGTATTACTATATTTAACCTACTTGTTTGTGATATACCTATCGTTTCCTTTTCGACATGACTTGTCTTCCATCATCCTGCAGGCAATACCATCGTGATCGTCTTCACGCTAACATACTGCCTAATATGTAATCTCACTAATACTAACTTCGGCCGGCTGACTCGTGTCTTAATAGGTAAATATCTTAGAGTATAGGTCTGATTGGCAAATTGTTCAGGCCAGTTATTACCAGTCGTAACCCGCTGCTTCGAGGGCAAAGACTCAGGGAAACGAGCATTCTGGAAGGTCGCGGTTGGTAAGCATAGAATAGATAGACGAACCATGACAGAACCGCTAATAAAGGTTTTCATGAATCGTTTGCAAATATGTACAGAACATACAACCAAAAAAATGAGTTACATTTACGGAAAGCCCTACACAAACGAAATTTGCTGGGTTATGAGTGAAGTGCCTGATGAGCCACATCCTACCCGGTAAAAGGCATGCAACTAACCTAGGTGTCCAGATGAAATAGCACGCTATTTCGTCAATGCTAAGCTGGACTACTACTAACTCATCAGTGCGGACATGATAGGCATGAAGGGTTCAACACATAACTCCAATTTGGACTTAAGAAATAGTCCATATGTCGTTTCGTTCGGAGCTTGAAATTCAAAGGCAAATTTTTATATCTATCTATGATATTGTCAACAACAGGCCATGCTGCAAACCTTGATTAACCTGAGATACTACTTACTGTACGCCATTAGGTAATGATACGGTTACTTTTTAACTTGTCCAAGCAGCGTTTTTTCCAAAACATTTTTCCAAAGCTAGTTAAATCATCTAAAATTAGCGAATGTGCCCCAAATATGTACATTTGCGTACACATCCTTTACATGTGTAACGGATTATATGGAGCTTGAATGAATAAGACACAGTGCTAGATCTATTAGAGCTAAAAATATTGTAAAATCCTACGTTTCACTTGTGTACATGACAACCCATTGACATAACAGCTGAAAATCACTTGAAATTTGAAGCACGTGCGTGCGCATGTGACACCATTAACCTAACTTTCAAGAACATTTATTGCCCTTGTCTGTACAAGGTGGAAATGACCGGAGTCTTTTAGCTCCGTTGGATAAGCTACGGAGTTGGCCTTCATACGGGTCAACGTAAGCCATTTCCGGCTTTCCAGAGTTTCTCTTTCTACAAATATCTTCCAGACGGAAGGTGTTATTCGTTTTATGACCTCTGAACGGCGCAAACATGGACACCAAGGTGCCATTGCTCCAGAACGCTCTACTGTTTTTTCTCTATGCGCCTAGGAATGTCCGGCCCGCTGTCACTGTATTATAGTTCCTGCTGCAGTCAGACTGCTAGGAATGAAGCAGTGCCATACGTGCGTGTAACTGAAAATTGAAAACAGTCCTGATGGATACGCCAACCATTTTTCATAACAAATAAGCATAAACACTTAAAATTGAAAGACTTCAGTGGTTTAGCGATATCTCGATATCACAAACTGCCATTACATGCTGTATTCCATTCAGACTTTTCCCTATTTGCAGTACTTGAGCGACGTCATAGAAGAGCCATGTTAAACTTCCTGCGATTCAGCTTTGAGGGCTTAAATCCCAACAATATCCTGGAAAGGCAAGTTTTTCGCGACTGACATCTATTTCTGATGGTCCATATAGTATTGCTGCTCTGATCACACACGCTTTAATTGTTATGTCCTACTTGGCTTCGTTAAGTCGTAACTGCTACCAGTCCCGAGTCGTTCTAGCTGTTAAAGCGAGGAAAATTAGATTTAAGCCCCCCGGGCTTTTGATGGTAAAGGCTGATCCGTCAGTGTGGTCGTGACAATACCGCTACGTACGAATTTCGGAATAGAGATCTTCTTTCTTTACTAGAAATTACGCCCAGTTTTTCCTTTCTCAATCCGCTATCGGCTCTCCGCTGCGTCCCGTGTTGTTCTGCTTCCCGCAACTGCACCCAATGCTGCTTGTTGCCCATAAAAGCGGATTTGCATTCAAACTGGCCCACGCCATATAAACGGGTAGACCAGCTGTCGATTCCTTAATTCTCTGTCTACAATTTCCTACGCCTCTACACCCGACCGAACTCTGTTGCATGGCGACCCTCTCCTGACGCGCGAAGTTTCTGCTCACGCCATTCACTTGTGTTTACCGAATCATCCGAGCAACCGACCAAGCGGAGCCTTTTCTTTTGACACCTTGACTGAGTCTTTACCAAATTGTTCTACGTTATAATACATCCTATAACCGGCCTAATTTCACAGGCAGTGTATATACAGCAACATATATGGGCTCCACGTGCAAGACGGCACGTAAGTGAACATCGTTGAACACTAATTAATTTTTGCTTATAACGCTCGATTTGGACGTGACTGCAGTGTTGCAAGCAGTGTCCAATAGTATACGCTAGGGTGAAGGCGTGGTATACATTGTTATCCCGCTCGTAAAGCTTGGAGAAAACTAACAAAGATGGTCAGCTATAGCAGGGGGGGGATGGCTGTTTAAGGGATCTATAAGATGTACTATGCAAATTCGACATTTTAGGGGCAAAAGTCACCGAATCCTCATACGTGTTCCTTGTGCCCGTGGTCGAGCATGTCAGGCACAACTGATTGACGCTAAGTTATTTTCTCGGGAATAAACTGTCGTCTTCACTTAGTTTACTTCTGTGACATCTTCTGTAAGCCTGCGATTTGCCTCTTTGACTGTAATATGCATAAAACTGCTCCATTGCAATTTTTCAAACTGATCACAGCCGTAACGTTATCTAATTGTACAGCCCTATGTGTGACCAATAAAACATTGTCTGTTTATGTACTGATAACTATATGTGCAGGACAAGTTGCATTGTAGTACACGTATGCATGCCATTAATGTCGACCCATCCGTTATTTTCAAAAATGTCATAATTTACGCATTACGTATGGACTGATAAAGGGCAAATCCATAGCCGTTTACGAGAATACGAGAATCAAATTTCTGTCTATAGAAAGAAGTGAAGATCGTAGCTGATTGTGAGCCCTTCAATCTGGATTGAGCTCCACTCTTGAGTGACACAGAAAAACTTCTCGGAGCAAACGCTCCGGGTCCGCTAGACAATGCGTGAGTGCACATCTTCTTGCCAAAAATTCACGGTGCAAGATATTATCATACATTGGCATATAACCTAGAACGCAAAGTGAGTGCGACATTCAGCAGCAACCTAAATTCTGGCGACATCATTTCGACGACAAGAATAGGTGGGGTTGACGTTTCCGGAGCCTCACTTGCTTAACTATATAGCCTTCAAAATTTTTTTGGGCTGGTTCTTACAGCAACCATTGCCTATTACGATTTTACAAGCTCCTCTCATTACCAGTTAATACAACTGGTTTGCTATGTAGCCACAACAAAAACTACAGGAAACGACTGGAGCCGACTGGTCGTGTCACAGAAATATAGGCCTTATCGAGTACTTACAATAATAGGCACAAGCCATGTTTCCCACGAAGCATGAACGTTACTTTCTCGTTTAAAGTAGATATGCCTGATTTGTCTCTCAGCTTGCTCTACCTTATAAGAGGTAAGTTACCTAGATAGTACCTAGCAGATCTCACCTGGTAACGCTTTGCTGCTCCCGTTAGTTTTTTATTCAGTCCTCACCCTTTTCCAGCGGTATTGACTAGATTAAAAAAAAGCTATATTTCATCTATTAGATGTATGTTTATTGGATTTCTCTGCTGACAATTTCACAGCCTAGAAGATTGGTCATTGCGCTATCAACCACTCAAGGCAGATTCGTCGTTTTAATTCTATTCATATTGTACAAAGGTGTATCTGAATATAATTCCAAAAGGCTTAATGAGTTTTCATAAGTATTACTTCAATACGAATCGAGAGCCTAAAGCTATACCATATTAACTTTGCTTCTATAAAAACAGGTTTTCTAGTCCAATCATTTTCATTTCCATGTATAAACTGATATTAAATATCCAAGTGAGCTTCAGTATTGTTACTTCAAACTCAGACATATTCAGCTATCGTCATTTCAGCCCTTCTTTAAATAAACAAACGGTAGACTGCCAGCAGCAGTCGTATACGAAAACTCGTAATCCACATATAGCCAATGTTTCTAATTTTTTCTAGCATTTATATTTATATTAAACTATCTGCGCTAATTCACACGGTTCTATTGATACTCATTCTAATAAAATAGAAGTGGATTCGTTGACTTATGCTGAACACGTTTGATTGGTGACGATATTTTTATATGTAGCAGTGTCATCATCCGAAGGATCAGGCTTGCTGGTACCGGGTTCGAATTTACTTCATCTATAAACAAAATGCTTTTCAGGTTTTTGTGGGCTAATTAAGCCTTGAAGCGTTACTTTAGCCAATCCTCTTCAAATAAACTCTGAGTCGCGTACGGTACGTCTGTGAGCGTTGCGTTGACAAATACCGGCTGCACCCTCGCGCCACCGGAGCTCGCTTCCCTCTGGCAACAATTGTACGAAAACAGTTGAACGAGCCGACAGCGTAAGTGGCCCTACAAGCAGCAGGACCAGCGCGATGATTCACTTCAGACAAAGCACGTGCCCCTCCCCCAGAGCGGAGCCGCGGAGTTCCCTTTCCCGTATCTTTGCAGACTCTTTCCACATTCAGCTGGGCGCTCTGTCCTGGCGGATCTCCCCCAATCACCGGCACATTGCCTTTGGCAGCTGTTGAGTGCACAGGGCGGAAAGCTGATCGTGGAACTGTTGTTTTGCGCCCACCGCCAGAATGTATGCTGGTCACATTGACCACGCGTAGTTTCTTTTTTGTTATTACTATTCATAGCTCGGCACAGGTGCCTCGGTTGAACCTGTGCGAAGGGACGGCCGGCAAAGTTTGCTAGCAGTCCATCGTAGCAATCGGCTAAACGAACGCGCGCGCGCGCGCGCGTGTGCGTGCGCGCTCGCTCATTCACTCGTTCGCTTAACAGTGTCAGTGGTGTGAAATCGACAGAAGCAGAAGAAATACTTTGAGATCTGTGCAGTTAGGCTAATCTCACCGTATCTATTGACATTACTTATTGATGACCCTCAATCGTTGGATGCTCATACAAGTGACGTATATCGTACTGTGATAAACATCGTTAACAGAGCGTTTACGATGGACGGATTTAACATGTTCTAACTGGACAAACGACAACAACAGGAATTGGAACAAGCAACGGTAGACAACTGTTGCGCTGCCTTATTCGTACTTGGACACAAAGTGCGACGCTATTTGGTGAACCTTCGAGAAAGTGGTCGCATCAGAAGCTTAAAAGTTCATACATAGGATATGCTACATTGCATTAGATGATTCCTGCTAAAGTCTAAAACTTCTACACGTGCTAGGACTTTCTCAATGTACTGTGTGCGCGAAGTCTTTTCGTGAGGTGACTGCTATCGTTTCCGTTGTTACTTTATGGTTTAACAGTTCTCTAACAAATAGTTAAGCAGGCGTAGCAAAGTTTCAGTACAACTCGGATCACTTTCGGCATTACAATTACAAGAAAGGACAGTGGAAAAGTGAAGCTTTTAGCGCAGTGAGGACATCTTGAGTTACTGCCGGGATGAGACAGCCGCGGCACGGGCCTGCGGCTGTCAGCCGAAATCGCACGCCGCTCGGAAAGCGTTACACGCTTGAGATTTTTCCTTCCTGTTTTCGCTTCGATCGACGAGCAATAGTGAGATTAACTGTGGTCCTATTATTAATTGTACTCTGTTGCTGGCCCACTGAAGTTGTGAATGGGTCGCGAGTACAAGTTGACCCACAGATTAAAGCATACGAAGGACTAGTAGTTGCCATCTCACCAAAGATCAAACAAAATCATGGAAAATCCATCATATCCAACCTTGAGGTTAGTAATTTACTCGACAGTCGGGCAAATTGCATTGCAGAAATTTTAGTCTCTGCAAAAAAGGGTGTCATATTGATACTTGTGCAAACAAATTTGAGACTTATTTCTTGTAAAAATCTTGCTAAATGTAAAATACCTAAAAAAAAAAGCTGGGAACATATTTTCATGCCCCGGATTGTATGTACGATTCCATCTCAGGAACATTTGATTAGGTAACACAACAAAGCAACGTAAAACCCATCTATTACAAACGTCATTAGAGTCAGCACAGGATCTTTTAATGCGACAGATATGAGTTCGATTTTATAGCTACCGTTTGTCTGCACATGTTTGTGGCAAACAAACTAAATGCAGATATATATTAGGCTACCTAAGCTGTTAAAAGACTGAATGCTAGATAATTTTGTATGAAAAAAAAATGTAACTATTACATGGATCCATATATGTTATTCTCTTCGTTTCACACTCTATTTTATCATGCTCTCTCTGTCAGCCTTTCGTACATGTTCCGCCTTTAATATTCCTTCGCCCTGTCAAAGAAGCCCTGCTCATATGCAAACCTAATATATTGCAATACATAAAATATGCCTTTTTCGCCTTGTGTATCTTACTATGTATAATAACTTTTTTTTTATTATTTCCTGCCGTGTACACTTCGGCTGCTTATCATTTTCTGACGAAAGCAAATTGTCCTTAATCGTAACAAATTTGCCACTTCCGCCACGTGCCTGAAGAGAGAAAAGGAAAATGCATTGTCAAAAGAACAATCGAAATGGAAGCCGATCTCCGATTATAATCACTGTCATAGTCTGCTAGATCAGTGGTCCAATCAGTCAACTTCCGACTGTGTAAGTAAGATGATTCAGCAAAAAGATATAATTGACCACCTGTTGGCCAGTGAAAATCAACGATTGAGTTCTAATGATGCCAGAAAACTATTAAAATTAGTTAGCCAGTTAGGGACTAAAAGATGTCTTGCGTTTGGCTCAATCCTGAATACAATAAAAGGAACCACTGAATCCTGAAGAAATCCTGAATGATTTTTTACCATGTGTAAATATTTTGGTGAGTATTATAGTGCACTAGAAATTCACTCGCGATCTTGCTGCTGAGTACATGCTCTTTTACCTGTGGAAATACATGAATTTTTTTAAAATCGTTGTTGCAAGAAATCAAAGGATTCTACCGGGAACCTAAAAATAAAGCCTCCCATAGGTAAGCAAGCAGCACTTCATTCTGCAGGTTTAGTTCTCACAGTTTTACAACTTCATCATGATGAGGCTGAAACAACAATCGGTGTTTGTACTAAGCTAGAACAAAGTGGAGTCCTCCGAAACTATGGAGATGCTAGGACACGGCATGCAATTCGTTTCCCATGTCGAAGGCATTTTTCGTTTAGGCCATAGGACATATCCTATAGAGCTGATCGCCCGTGTGTCTTCGTTATGTATGGACGGGCTACCGGAGGCAGGCAATAGACCCTCCACGAACAGTCCGCCTTTGCTGCTGCTGTTGAGGCTGCTGTCCCTACAGAAGCTGCGTGTTCCTTTATTCTAAAAACGTTTGGAATGTAGGCCGCGCGTGTTTCGCGTCTGTTTCGCGTCGTCTTGGCCTCCGGTAGCACCTGTGCGAACTACCAAAGGTACTACAACTACAGCTATAGCTAAGAACAGAGCTGTTGGTGATAGAGCCTCAAGCAACGCGTACTCAAGCCTTGCCCTCCTTGCCATCTCTCTTCTCTCCCTATTTCCCTTCATTTTACTGAAAAGCACAACGTAGCGATGAATACTGCCAGCCTTCGCTGATACTAGCGACGCGTTCGTCGAGGGCATCCACGACGGTTCCTTTGTCGTTCCTTCAGCTATGCGACCTTGGCAATGTGAGTTTGACATATAAAGTGCTTACAGCTACACAGTCAGCCAACTACGGCGTCTTCAAGTAGCGATGGAGCTCCCACCTTCGGTTTCCGTGACCCAGGCGTTAGGCGACGTTATAAAGTAGACTAATTTTGAGATTAATGTTTGTCACCTGTTTTACGTTAAGCAACCTAGTAAAAAAAACATCTGTAAGATCATAGGCGATTGGTCAATGAAAGATTACCGTATCTACCCATTTATGCTTTTGCAGTGAAAATGGAGAGTGAATATAGTCAAAGGGAGCGCACACATTTCTCTTATAGACGTGTGTATTTTTTTTTTACATGTCACATAAACATGAGCAATTGTTCTTTGACGAATGTTCGACAATGCATAGTCATACACTTCACGTAACCACAGGTCCTACTCAAAGAGGTCTTTGCATTTAGGCTTACACTAGGTAAGTAAGCGTATACATTGAATTATCGTTCCAACTTCTATGGAGAAAAAATAATTTCACACTGTGATTAAAAGGGGGTTTTGTAATTATTTTAGCGAACTGTCAAATCTGCATTTGATTTGTTTTTACACAAAGGGAAAACTGTTGTTGAGCTGAATAGATGATAGCGTAAATATGTGGTACTCGATAAATTATTGCCTTACTTTGAAGTTGTCGTAGTGCTACTTCGTAGAACCTGCTGCTGTCATGTTTGTCATTGTGGGATTCAAGTGGCAAATGTATTCTGAAATAAGGGCATCGAACAGTTCGTGGCCTCCCGCGGGCAATTCTATAGAGCTGTAACGGACAAATGTTCTTTGTTGTGTTATGCAAGCATATCTCTCATCAAGGGTCTCTCACATGACGATAGCAGCTTCGTTAATTTTGTGTACGTTCTACTTCATACAGATCGTGTGCTCGTCTTATGATGCTTGATACAGCTTGTTGAGGACATCTCATGTCATACTATGCACTGTTCTGTGATAATACAACCTGAACAAGTAAAACAGGATAAGTCGCTAAGTTCAGCTTGCCCTCTACTCACGCCTACTCTACTTCACCTTTCAGATAAATTCATGCATATATTTAGGCGTTGATGATGCGTGCGTTGTGAATCGGAGCTCTCCTTCGAATCCATGAAGCCAAAGCCTATCGTTATTATGTGCGTGATTGTACGAAGCTGTACTTTTACTTTACGAAGACCATCACAAGAATCCTGTAGAATCAGCAGTTAATTTCTGCTGCACGGTTCTAGGAACACCTCTGAGTATGATTTTGTTTATTGATTTTAATGAATACGCACTATATTTACACGGAATCGATGAAATTCTCTGCTAAGCTTCACTAAGTAATACCATACAGCCGTTTGTTTGTACCTGAACACTCAGTTATCAAAAAAAAGTCATAACACTTCAATTTCGAACAAATATCGTTATATAGTTAAACAATTATCCTCTACATACCACCCCATTATTCTCATCCTCACTCATAGACACAATAGTTACATCCAACAAGCCGGTCCTAAAGCTTTAATCTTAGTAGCTTCCTCATTGCTTCCATCTGCTGATATGCCCATACACTTAACGTAAACGTATTACCAATCGCAATTTGAGCTCTGGCCTAACGGACGCGTGAGGAACTGCGAAAGATCTTAAAGACCTCACAATTAGGCATAGATTAATCTCAATGTGTTGAACAGAAGACGATAGTGTTGTCCTCATTATCGCTTTCCATGCCCCAGAGAATTGCGCAATCCATGTTTCGGCCCGCAAAACGGTTCGACTTGCTGCCGCAAAGGAAGTGAAGTCCAGAGCAAAAGCTGAAAGGATGAAGGAAAGAGTAGAAATGCCGGCGTGACTAAGCTGATCTCAAAGCGCGCTGAACCACGATCTGGGTGTTCATACGCAAAGTTTCGTTCCGTAGCCGCTGGTCAGCCAAAGCGAGCTATTTTTGTTGACGGACCTGATGGTGGCTGTTTTGCTATTCCGTCCAACGCCAACCTAGGCCATACGATTTGCCCCTGAGGAGCGGAATTATGGCACATTCAACATTCGCAACACCCGTGGCCATAAATCCACACGAGGATACTTTAACGGCCAGTCTGCGCTTAGCAGTCGGTGTATATATCAACGTTATATCTCCTACTAGACCCAGTTCTACCTGCTCCTAGGAGAATCGCCTCGTTGAACGCCTTCAATAGCACCTAACTGTCGGATATATGTACACAGTGGTAGGCAATAGCGGCCATGTAGGCGATTGCGGTTGAAACACTTCGGTAGGATCGATAACTCGTCATTAATAATGGCGCATGCACCTTTGATTGTTTTTTTTATTTGGTTTCAACCAGGTCTTGCTGACATCGTCACCATGCAGATCTGACATATATCATAATGACGGCAAGCTGAAAGAAACTTAGCGCAGTTAATTAAACTATACGTATAGAGTACAAGTTTAAAGTAAAAAAAAAAAAAGCCATATAATAATAACTAGCAGTGAATAATATAATCGGCCGTTGTCCTGCAGATTTTACGCGACCGAGTTTCATTGCCGGCAACGGGAACTATCTGCTGCATGATAAATCTGTATTATCTCATTCTGCTGAGCCGATTCTGCTCGAGCGTTTCATAATACTTCTGCTAAGTGTACCTTGAACTTTGTCTAACGACAAGAGCGTGTAGTGAACCTGACCCCTTTTTGTAACTTTATCATATCTATACAGCAGTGAACCCAACTATAATACTCTTTGTCAAAGGCGAACGCTTAACTCGAAGCGGTGCCGTTATCGCACGTTATTCCATTGATTTTGCTGTCGTTGAAAGGTGGCGCTTCCTTCTCAAACGAACCTACCGCTTGCACCGCCGTCACTTCGGCGTTACGCGTACGAATGAGCTAACAACGAAATCAACCCAGCTCACGCTCACGAAGAGCCCATAGATGTGCGTGAATGACCACAAATGCTGTTGGTACGGTTCAGGTTTCTTAATGGAATCAATGATTTTATTGATTGCTGAATAAGCGGACGATCGGACGTCTGTAACTTGCGTTCAGCCCTTTTTTCTGTTCTCATTCTTTGCCAACTGGTTTATCATACCACCTTCTTTCTGGGCCTCTTCACGCCTCGACAACTTTCAGATTGTCAGGTTACA